GTTCTACTTCCAGATTCCTTTCCCTTTCCTTGAGCCTTATTTCTTTAAATCTTCTTCCTACTTTTTCTTTTGTCACTTCCACTTTTGGTATCTGAGGAAATCATTGCTTAACCCAAGGTCACAAAGATTTATGTGTTCTTCTAAGATTTGTACAGTTTTTAGATTGTACATTTAAATCTGTGATCCATTTTGTTAATTTTTGTGTATGGTGTGGGGTAGGGGATCAACTTCAATCTTTTGCATGTAGATATCCAGTTTTCCCAGCACTATTTCTTGAATAGACTATTCTTTTCCCATTTATCTTGCCACCTGCTGCCACATACCACTCAGTCCTAATTTTTTCATAATGGCTATGTTTTCTCATTCTTTGCCCACTCAGACCTTCTTCTTCTTCCTACTCCTCTTCTTCCTTTTAAGTCCCCTTTTCTAAAATACTTTTCAGCATAAAAGCTTTTGGCTGGCATAAACTAGGTTTTGTTTAAATACCTGAAAGGCTGTGATTAGATGAAAATCAACCTCAAGATGCAAATGAAAGGAAAAACAAACATCTCTTTCTTAGCCAGTATGTTGTTGCCCATCCTACTATCTTTTTCAGACATTGTCTCTTTTCAGTGTATGTGTGTCTTCTATATGGCACAGGCCACTCAGAAACCCCTGCAAGATCTTTATCTATTTAAGTCTCTCTTTCTCAGTAAAGGCTAAAGGGCCCAGCTCACTCTGCCTGGGAAACTGGTAAGCCATGTAGCTACATTTGTGGCATTTGTGACCGGAACTTTGAGGCATAGGAGCCTAAGGATCCTCTTCTAGGAGGAAAGGAAATAATAACCCACAATATAAAGGGTTTAAAGAGAGGAAGTCACCTACAGAATGAGAAGAAGACTTTATCCACTCTACTACTTTGCTAAAGATGGACTCTGGTTTGGAGTCTGCTTTGCCCAAATGGCCAGGGTCCTTTGGAGAGTAGAATATCTATGTGTTAGTCTTCTCAATTGCCGTAACAAAATATCATAGACTAGGTGGCTTAAAAAACAGATGTTTGTTTTCTCACAGTTCTGGAGGCCAAAAGTCCCAGATCAAGGTTCAGCAAGGTCAGTTTCTGGTGAGGACTTCCTTCCTGGCTTGTTGACAGCTGCCTCTGCCTTGTGTCCTCACATGGTGGAGGGAGGGAAGGGAGGGAGAGAAGGCGAGAGAGAGAGCAATTGCTATTTCTTCCTTGCTGGGACACTCAAATTTTAGACTTAAGCATTAGACAGTTGCTACCTGTTAGGTTTTGATCAGTAAAAGGAGAGAGCTACTGTTAGAATCTATGAGGAGACCCTCCCTCAAAAAATATTCAGAAGAGATGGTAGTAAATCCCTTTAGAGATGGTATCAGTGGGAAGGGAAGCCTAAAGAAAAGAGAGAGGCTCATCATCTATAAATCTGGTATGTCATCTTTTTCCCACTGAATACTAGTCAGGCATAAATCCTATTCTAGGACCTGGCCACGTGGGGCACTGTGGAATCATAACCCAGGTGAGCCCTAGTAGGCTGCAAAATTCCTGGGGAAGGAGCAGCTAAGTATTTCAGTCACTGCAAAGGCATGTGTCACTCAGTGTGGGCGGACTTAGCCTGGTTTCAGTGTTTTGTCACTCTTTGCTATCTCAGAACAAATTTCCATTTCAACAGTATGAAGTCCTGAGAACTTTAATAGGAAGTTTCCAAGCCCTCTCTGAAATTCCCTGCTAAAGAGACTGGAAGGAGAACAGCCAGTGTCAGACAATTTTTCTTACCTTTAGGCTTAGAGCCCTGCATCTAGCATCTCTAGTAGATCAGATTAGTACTCAGATTTTTAACTGTCCCAAAGAAACAGCAAGAAAAATAAAGCAGAGGCATATACCCTATGCCCTTTGTGTGTACTGGGTTATAGACTGCTAACTGGATTTAGACTGTTCCATCTGGCTTTTTAATCGCCTGCTGAGAACTGAGGCTCTGGGGGAGTGTCACAGGGGAGGTTGGAGGATGATTTTATCCTTATTCCAGATTCCCAGAATGGCATATCTTTCATACCCTCAAGATGAATATGCTCAAACAATATCAGCATATATGCCCTGCTAACATAGATCATCTATAGATCCAGCTGACACTTGACAGGTACAACTTTGAGAAGGGAAGGAAATAAGTATACTTTTTGAGGAGAATACTTTCCAGGCTTTTCCTTTCTCTCCCTCATTCCCTATCTCTTCCCTTCCTTCCTCTTCCCCTTCCCTCTCCTGTCTTCTTTCTTCCTTCTTTCTGTTTCTCCTTTGTCTTTTCCTTTTCTTGCTTCCTTGCTTTCTTTGCTAGTGTAAGAATTCCTCGGGTAGAAAGGGAACAGAATTACAGCATCCCCATCAATTTCATTCCCAGGAATTATTTCATTGTCCAGACCTCACCAGCTTCACTGGATTGCCACCTGGGCCCCCATGGCTGCTACTCGCCCACCCACACAGACACGAAAATACTTTGGAGTTCTCTGTTCTCCAAACCTAGGCAAACGAAAACAAACAACCCTAGTTCAGTTGAGTCAGGATTTTTTTTAAACATTTTTTCAAAAGAATTTTACTAAGAAATTTAAGGAAAATCCAAAAGAAAAAACCATTATAAAACCACGAAATGAATGTATTTACAGAGTTCATATTCTTTTTCCTAAAATAACTGAGGTCCAGTTGTAGATAGATTTGGTTACTGTATTTCTTTTTCTTGATCCTGTAGCTCTTAGATGCTAAACCCTATGACTCCTACTCTCCACTTAGTTAACTTTTACTTGGTACTGCTGCTAGGTTTGGGGGTATTCTCAGTGCCTCTCTAAACTTCCTCCCCTGTCTTCTTACTGGGTTTAGGCTCCTGGTTTTCCTTTTCTGCTCTTGTTGTCATCCCTGCCAATACCCTCAAACTTTACTTTCTGAATGAGAAAAATATTTGACCCCTACTTGGTCCAAATTCTTTCCCACTTTGGATTTAGACCAAATTACAACCTTAACTTGCAGATAACATCTCAGCCCTTCTTCGAAGTCTCTGCAAAAATAAGTTACCAGAATTTTCCTCTATTCCTGACCCATTACTATCCCGTTTGATGTATTCATTCTTTGAATATTTATTGCATACCAGCTGTGTGCCAGGCACTGTGCTAGATGTTTGACATTGCTTTATTATATAAATGTTGCAAGAATTCTCTAAGATTTAGTCACTCTTTCGACAAACATTTATTTTATGCCTACAATGTACTATTCCTGGGTACTGTACTAAGTGCTAAGGTAGGTGTTGTTCCCACTTTTTCCCTCTGAGACATGTAGTTTCCTAAAAATCCAAAATAACAAATGGTCAAACCATGATTTTTTTTTGAAGTTTGGCTTATACTTTTATTACCCATATTAAATGGTTCAAGAATTTTATATTATCAATGTTATATTAAAAGAAAACATTGATTTCTATTGCACTGCCACACATTCACATGTATGCACGTACACACCCACACATTTTAACAAACTTAATTTTGGAATAATTTTAGAATTACAGAAAAAGTGCAAAGATAATACACAGAGTTCTTGTATGCCCCTCAACCAGGTTTCCCTCATCTTACATTACCAAGGTACATTTATTCATCACTAAGAAACTGGCAATGATATATTACTATTAACTAAGCTCCATATTTTATTTGGATTTCACCAGTTTATTAATTTTCTCTTTCTGTTCCAGGGTCCAATTCAGGGTATCACACTGCATTTAGTTGTCATGTCTCCCCAGTATCCTCCGGTCTGTGACAATTTCTCAAGTACAGTTTTTCATGACCTTGACAGTCTTTTTTTTTTTTTTTTTTTTTAATGATCTTGACAATCCTAAGGAGTACTGGCCAGGTATTCTATAGAATGCCCCCAGTCTGGTTTTGTCACATGTTTTTCTCATGATGAGACTGAGGTTGTGGGTTTGGGAGTATATAACAGGTAAAGTGCCCTTTTCATAAGATCATACCAGGGGTTACATGACAGCTACATGAATCACTGGCAATGTTTGCATTAATCATTTGGCTAATAAGGTAGTATTTGCCAAGATTGTTTACAGTAAAGTTACTGTTTTTCCCTTTTACTACTCTGTTCTTTGGAAATAAGTCACTAAGTCTATCTAGCCTACCCTCAGTGGGAATGGGAACCAACTCCACCTCCTAAAGGGGAGAGTATCTGCATATATTATTTGGAATTATTCTGTTAGAAAGATTTTTCTCTTTTCCCCATTTATTTAATCAATTTTATATTAATATGGACTTAGATAAACTCTGATCTGAAACCTGTGCTTTTTCTGCTACACTAGACAAGAAATGACAAGGACCTACATATACACCAAACGCATTGGATTCAGAGAACTTTATTTCAGATTGCAGAGATTTTTGAAGAACTAGATTTGATAAGACTTGGTAACCTTGAATGTGAGGGTGATAGGAAGTGTTTGAAAATGACACTCAGATTTTGGTTTGAATGGCTGGAAATAAAATTTTGGTTTGAAATTATTAACTAACAAGTATGAAGATTGGTTCTAGGCTTTGATAAAACTCAGCTTCTTCAGAGATTGTATTTAGCCTATGTATTGGTCCAGCTTTACTGAGTGCCCTATTCTCCCAAGTCAGAGCAGAGCAAACGACTTTTCTTTCTTACTGAAACAGCAGGGCCCCCTAGTGGACAGCCCCCTGGGTCCTGTTTCTTGCCTGAAGGATGCTTGGTTTTGTTTTTTGTTTGGTTGAGATTTTTTTCCCCTTAGTTCATTTGCAGAGCAGAGACATTTGATTCTACTCTTGATCTAAAAAATTTTAAGCCCTACTTATTTCAGAGTTATCAGGTTCACCCCCATGTTCAATAAAAAGATAGTTACCCTCTGACAATCACTCCTATGCACTCATACTCTAAACTAGAGGGTACTCGATACTTGTTTTTAACTCATTTATCTGCCTCTTCCATCTGATGCCATATTAATGTTAATTCTTTTTTTCAGAGCCATCATCAATCACTTTAACCCCAAAATTGAATCCTATGCTGCTGTGAATCACATATCCCAACTGTCAGAGGAGCAGGTAAGCCACTGCCCTCCCCAGAGTGACCCCTAATAGTTGGTGGCTGGGATCAAGCAGTTGTCCTCTCTTTGACAGCAGAGGTATTCTGTGACTGAGCTGGTAGCAGGAACCAAGCTTCTAAGAGCAATTACTAAGGGATTTGTTGATAGTACTTTAAATAGAGTGATGGCTTCTGCTTTTGTGCCATATGAGGGGTTTGTTTAATTATATAGAAGATATGTAGGTGAAAATTTAGTGAATTATTATTTTAGAGTGGGTGATAGGCATTTCTTTTTTTAATTTTAGGCAGAGAGTCATTTTGATTTTTAAAAATAAGAAATGAGAACTTAGAAATGGATAAAACTGCCAATTAGAAAAACTCTGAGTTCAGCTCAATTTGATGCTGTTTGGCTTATTAAAATATGAGCCCTCATTGGGGTAGATTTTCCTTAGTAATTGAGTTCTATTTGCCTTGAACAATTATTTCTGAGCAGGTTTTTCTATGGTATGGACTGAGTTGGAGATGCAGATAGCGTTCTGTGTTTGTTTTCCTTGAGTCTGGCCTGATTTCCCCTTCTCCCAAAGTGCCTGCACTCAGTTCTGCATTATATAAAAGTACAGATGGGGGGTGCCTGGGTGGCTCAGTCGTTGGGCGGCTGCCTTCGGCTCAGGTCATGATCCCAGAGTCCTGGGATCGAGTCCCACATGGGGCTCCCTGCTCAGCGGGGAGCCTGCTTCTCCCTCTCCCACTCCCCCTGCTTGTGTTCCTGCTCTCGCTGTCAAATAAATAAATAAAATCTTAAAAAAAAAAAAAAAGTACAGATGGGGCATTAGCATGGCATGGGATTGAACTTGATGTTTCAGAATGAGACTCTTGAGTCCTGTTTTTAAAAGCACAAAATGAGGGCGCCTGGGTGGCTCAGTTGGTTAAGCGTCTACCTTCGGCTCAGGTCATGATCCCGGGGTCCTGGGATCGAGTCCCACATCGGGCTCCCTGCTCAGCGGGAGTCTGCTTCTCCCTCTTCCTCTGCCGCTCCACCCCCCACTTGTGCTCTCTCACTCTCAAATAAATAAATAAAATCTTAAAAAAAAAAGGCACAAAATGAGACATTCTGTTCACACAATCTCCTTTCTTTCGCACCCAACTCCCAAGATGGAGGGCCCGGGTAGTCATGAGTTGAGAGTTCAGGTATAAGTTCCAAACCAAAAAAACATACTCTGTTCTCCCTTTTTTGCCAGTGTATCAGTATAACCCTTCTCTGAGTCTTTTGCTGGTACAGCGTGCCAGCTCTGGTGTGAGCCTGTGTTCCAGTGTTTCTAAAAGCTCTTCAGCTCACTCAGTGAGGCAGCAGGCAGCCTTTTCCCTGACAGGCTTCTCAGTATTCCCACCAGTGGCTCTGTCCTCAGCCAGATGGATAGGACTCTATTAGTCTATCAGTTGTTCCCTTTGACATATTTGTTCTCTTTTGTGAGGCCAGCTGTGAGATTTCCATCCTCTTATTTAAACTGCTTTTGTAAATGGCTTTCATTTTCTTTTTTCCATGAGTACTGTGTTTTGATGCCACTGCTCTCTGTGAGGTGCTTCAGGATGCTACCTTTCTCCTGTTGGACCAGTTCAGATCAGTTTACTCTATCATTTTTATGCAAAAGAATTCGACATCTTGAGTTTTATACGGTGAAAGAAAGGGTGACTTTCCTACCACAGTGAGCTCTGGTTAGTCTAAAAGCTTTTAAAAAAAAAAAAAGGACACATTTTCCCTGTCAGCCACGTGCAGTATTCACCCCCAGCAGCTTGGGAAGGTCAGGCTGAAATCCTTCTCCAGCAGTAGCAGCCACAGGCCAATAATAAAAATCCATTCTGGCGCGTGAGGCAATCTGGAAAAGGATGATTAGCAAGCACGTGTCCTCACCCTCCTCCAACTTCTCTCAAAGTTAAATGAAGTGATGAAAGTGCCTCTCAAAAAGAGTCCACAAGCCAGAGATGAGGCGATTTCTGTGTGGAGGGAGAGTATACAGCCCTATTCAAGAATGGGGAAAGGATAGCAGCTCTCAAAGATTTACTTAGGGAATAAATAATTACATGCCTGCTGTTTACAAGGTGTGGTGCTGGGTAGTGGGGATAGTGGTGAATAATCTTAAGTGTAGTTCTTGATCTCACAGGGTTTTTGTACACTTAAGTATCTCTCATAGCAATCCTTTTCACTTAGGGAGTGGGGAAAGGGTGATACTATTCTGGGACCCTTTTCAAAACTGCCCTCAAAATAGTTGTTGCTTCTCTTCCCTAACTGACTTTGAAGGGCGCTAAATGACAGCATTACAGTGCACTTGGTTTTATTCTCAGCACTATCAGATTAGAAGTATTTGACTGCCTTGTTAATCTCCAACATGTGTTGGAGCACTTCTCTCCCTTCACTTATGAACATCAGTGCTAATATCACTTAATGTTAAGTGTATTCACAACTTCCCAAAGAGTTTTGGGATCCAGTAGGGCCCTGCAGTTGTTAGCAGCAAACTAAGTAGAAAGAAAAAATCAGGAACTCAATCCCCAAGTGGATTCTAAAGTACTCCTAAAATAAAACCTAAAGACCATGGATAGGTGTTAACTGGAATTTATAGCACTTTGCAAAACAGCAGACAAGAGAGGGCTCTTGCTAGGTCTGTGTGCCCAGCCAGCCATTTTGTTCTGGCAAGAGATTTGTGAATTTTTGAGTTCTGACAACACCCAGATATATTCCAGCCTCTGTCTGAGGCATTTCAAGGTGATGTTTGTAAATTCATTATTACTTCTTAAATGAAGTCCATTCTCTCACACACTGGAACTGTTTTTCAGATTTCCAGGAGATCCATAACATTTTTCTGTTACTTTCATTGGCTTCATGGAGGGCAAAGCCTTTTAATCAGTCAGTACCCTCAGTGTGACTGAATGGTTGTACATTATCTAGTATAATAAACTGCATGCATTTTTATATTTTATACACAGATGTCACATTTGTCCAAGGTTGATTGTGGAACTTGTTCATTTTTACCCCTTTTTTGTGTGTGGTAAAATATACATAAAATTTACCATTTTAGGGGTGCCTGGGTGACTCAGATGGTTAAGTGTCTGCCTTCGGCTCAGGTCATGATCCCTGGATCCTGGGATCGAGCCCCACATCGGGCTCCCTGCTCTGCGGGAAGCCTGCCTCTCCCTCTCCCTCTCCCACCCTCCCTGCTGTGTTCCCTCTCTTGCTATGTCTCTCTCTGTCAAATAAATAAAATCTTTAAAAAAAAAAAATTTTACCATTTTAACCATTTCCAAATGTAAAGTTAAGTGGCATTAAGTATATTCACATCGTTGTGTAACCATCACTACTATACATCTCCAGAACTTTTTCATTATTCCATACTGAAAGCCTATGCCCATTAAACAATAACTGCCCAATTCCCCCCCTCAACTTGAAGGTAACCACTGTTGTACTTTCTGTCTCTCTCTATATGTCCTTTTTTTTTTCTCTCTTAAATAGGGTCCATCTTGGGGCGCCTGGCTGGCTCAGTAGGAGGAGTATGTGACTCTTGATCTTGGGGTTATAGGTTCGAGTCCCACACTGACAAATAAATGAATAAAATCTTGAAAAGAAAATATATTTTCACTATAGTAAAATATTTAACGAAATAAATTATTTTAGATGTTATGCAAAATGAAAAAAAAAATTTTTAAGAAGGGGAGCTTGGGTAGCTCAGTCAGTGAAACATCTGACTTCCGCTCAGGTCATGATTTAAGGTCCTGGGATCAAGCCCTGCACAGTGCTCCGTGCTCAGCAGGGAGTCTGCTTGTCCCTCTACCCTTCCCTACCTCCTGTGTGTGCACACGCACATTCTCTCTCTCAAATAAAAAAATGACATACTGATTTACTTCAGCTCTAATTTCCTAATAGGTAAGAGAGGGCTTCATGGTAGAACTTTTACAGAAGATTTTCTAGAGCCCTGAATATCTAGAGTACATAGTCGCAATTTAGGATTCAAGTCAAAGCCTTCTCTGAGCACCTGATTGCTTAAGCTTTTAGTCACATTCATGACAAATTTTGTGACTTTGAAATATCCCATTGGAAAACAAATAAATGATTGGCCCACCTTGCCTTTTTTTTTTTTTTTTAAGATTTTATTTATTTATTAGAGAGAGAGTGCACAAGGAGCAGGGGGAGAGGGAGAAGCAGACTCCCTGCTGAGCAGGGAGCCTGAGGAGGGGCTCTATCCCCAGATGCTCAGATCATGACCTCAGCTGAAGGCAAAGACACTTAAGGGACTGAGCCACTGAGGCACCCCCCACTCTTGCTTTCTTTAGCCTTCATTCAGCTATTAGTATTTTCATTTAGTGCCTGCTCTGTGCTTCAGATTGTGCTAGGCATTTGAGGAATACAGAAGTATGATAAATGGCCTCTGTTCTCAAAAGGTGGAATAAATTCAAGAGATGGCTTAAGACAGTTTATTGATAGCTGACCAGTACTAGCAGTAGGATCTGTGAGCTCCTGTTAGAGGAAGATCTCTGTAGGTTGTGGTGGTCAAGAAAGGCCATATGGAAGAGAGAAGAATTGGGTGGACCTTCAAAGAGCAGGGATAGGGACTGGATAAATGAAGAGGCATAGATTGTAAAATGTACTCAAAGCCAGGACCTGAAAAAAGATAGAAAGAGGGGAGAAGAGTCCCAGAGTTTCTGTAAACCTTGTCCTTGCGTCACAGGGTACCCAGAGGCTGGCTGACTGAGAAATACAATTCAGGGGCGCCTGGGTGGCTCAGTCAGTTAATCATCTGCCTTCGCTCAGGTCATGATCCCAGGGTCCTGCTCCCTGCTCGGCGGGGAGCCTGCTTTTCCCTCTCCCTCTGCCTGCCCCTCCCCCTGTTTCTGTGCTTGCGCACTCTGTCTCTCTCTGTCAAATAAATAAATAAAATCTTTGGGGGGAAAAAAAGGAATACAGTTCAGTCATTTAAATTGTCATCACAACTTCCATAATCCCTGATGTACTGATTCTCATCTCTGTTCTAAT